AGGCGAGCATGGCGTTCCTGCTGCGATAATCTTGAGAGAGCTATGTACATCAAAACCATCTTTGTGGGCGTGAGCTCAAGTCGTTCACTAAGACCCCTACTTTGTGGGTGCTAAGTGGTGGACAGCTTGTGCTCTGAGGCACAAGATTGGAGGAGGTTGTCCATAAATCTGGACAATTCCACCTATCATTGCTGAGCTAGCGTATTATTATTGAAGACAAAAGGCGGCTTATCAAATTTCTATCTTCTACGTAACATTGCCATGCTGTCTTTATTCCACACCTTTTGTTTGCATATTCATCTCGGCCATCAACTTCTCATCGTCCACCTTGCCTGCATATTAATCGTGTACTTCATCCGTCACATATTCCTCTGTTTTTTTCCCGAAGCAAAATCACATTGGAGGGGCTTTTACCACACCATTGCAGCTATCACTAGTCCGTTAATCTTCTTAGACAACGTAAAAACCTTCTTACCGAGAGACTTCACCTGACTGTACTGACGCCCACCCCTTATGTAATACCCTCTTGAGGAGTCTTTGGTGAAATAAAGTCATGTGATGTAATGTAATGTTCGTCATCGCACAACCAGGTTTACGGCCGCCCAGTTACCTTTAGAGCAGCGATACTTGTGGCAGAATGCTACTATCGTTTCCAAGTGGATCGTACGGAGCAGTGAAATTACGGGGCGCAAGCAGGTATGTCACGTGGTTTATGTTGTATTTTCCTATTTCGCAGCCATCTCCAGGAAGCAGACGATCTTTACGTGTGACAGGTATAAGCTATGCACATGGCCCAAATGTAGGACTTGTAGGAAATGGTCCAAACGAACCTTTCAGAACCTATTTACATCTTTCTAAGTGATATTTCTTGCACATCTTTTCACTTTTGAACTTAATAAATTGATCTTACCTAATCAAAATATTAGGCAGAAAGGACACACAAAAAATAAGGGGCGCTCTACTTGATGGAATAGTAAGCATTGCATTTTGTTGCGCAGTCAAAAAGTACACCGGCATAGTTTAAAACCTTTGCTGCAGTTAGCTGTGGCACTCTGTATATGTGCGCAGATGGGCGTTCGGAGTTGCTGTTGTCAAGGCGGCTACGTTTTCAAAGACCACTTAGACTGCAAAGTTCTTCGCACTAAATTACGTAAGCGCTGCAAGTGTAAGTGCATCCATGGTTTCACTTGTTATCGGGGTATGAAAAAGGAGCTTCTCTAAACATCGGTTGCTTGTCCTTTTAAATTACATGGCGTAATCAATTTGAGTTGTCAAACTGGCGAGGTTAGATAATAAAAACCTCCTCGCTTACAGCTGGCGAGTACCAAAGAAAGCCTAGCCAAGGGTCATGAGAAGGAATGAAGACAGCTCTGACACATGCACTGCAACGTAAAAAAACACATTAAAGATGTTGTTTTGCTTGGCTGTTCGAAATTACAACCACCAAATAACGCTATAGAAGTCCGCATATGAACAATCATTTACATAAAGCTGGACTTGCAGCGTCTCAGTTATGTCTCTTTAGCAAGGAAGAAGAAACAATAGACCACATTTTTTTATTCTGTCACCAATATTTTTATTCAAGGAAAAATACCTTGTCAATCCAGTTCAAAAGCACTGTTTATAAATAAATGTTGTAGTAATGTTATCTTTTAGCGTGACTGCATTTGGTTATGGTCACAGTGAGGTTGGATCAACTGTTTGCGTAGCCAATGGAAACAAAAAGGTTCCTTGTTAGTATATCAATATTTTTCTTATCGGCACTGGGCATATCTCATTGTCTGACCGTTCGCTCGTGCAGCATTTTCATTCATTATTTACAACTTGATTTGATAACCTGATTTTCGATGAAGGTTTTCTGATCCCATACTTAAGATCCTGCCGACCGATTCTTGGCCCATCACCCTTTGTGGGTGAGTGTCAGCAATGTGAGAGGAACATCACCATAAACGACTTCGACAAGCGCTGTCGTTTGTATTCCGTCCGTTTTGTGTTTATTGCGCTGAACTGCGCCAGAATTATGAACTTTCACTTGGGCCAGCTCACCATTTCAATGAAGATAGTGGAAGAAGTAGCCCATTTTTATTTAATTGCGTTATGGCTGAAATATCTCATATCTTACCTACGGGTGTAAAATATTCGATATAGGCAGACGATCTGTGCTTTTGGGCATCAGACACGAGCGTTCAAGGAGTTCAGCAAAAACTTCAAGATGGGCTGACAATAATCAACAACCTTTCTAAGAGCAGAGGCATGATTCTTTTCCACGAGAAAACATCTGTACTTCCGTTCACAAGGAAATGCCTTAAAAAATTCAAACTTCAGATAGACTCTCAGCGCTTACAATTTGTGTGACAGCACACATTTCTAGGCGTTATTTTAGATAGACGCCTGTCTTGGGCACCACAGACAAAGTCATTAGAGGACAAAGTCAACTCTCTAATCAATATATTACGTCGACTGACCGGAGTGAGACGGGGTAGTTCATGTTCTTCTTTATATCGTGTACATTCAGCAATAAAGTGACAAAGAATAGCTTACTCTGCCCGCTTTTACATGGCATATCACGTAACTTAGAGGAGAGGATTCAAGGATTGTTGGCCAAAAGCCTTCGTATATGTCTTCATGTACCGCGAGTGTCTGCCAGTGCTTTAGTAATTGCGGAGTCTCGACAACCGACTTTCCATGCTATGAAATTTATGGAAACTTGCCGGCATTATCTTCGGTTGGCAACTCAACGCGGTAATTATCCCCTATACCGAGCTATTCAGAAGAGGTCAGCTGCAAGAATACATAAAACTATAGTAGAATTCAAGGGTTTACTGCCTACGCACGAATACTGGCCTCCATGAACATCCCACCCACCATGGCGAATCTCTATTCCAGATATTACAACTTCGATTCCGGGAATAAATTGTAAGAACGATATGCCCATTATTGTAATAAAGCAATTAACTTTAACACACCTTTATACTAACTATGAAGACTATATTCACGTGTACACCGACAGATCATGTCTGAATCAAAGCTCTACGTCGGCATTCTTTGTACCTGCACGCCAAGTGAGCAAAACTTTTAAACTCAGCCATTTCACAACATCCACAACGGCTGAACTTTATGCAATACTCTGTGCTTTACGCTTCATATGTTTAGAGCCAGGTCCACTTCGATGGGTAGCGATCAGTAACTCACAGTCCTCATTAGTTTCTTTAAAAGGAATCAGCTAGGGAAACAAACCTAGTGAGCTCGCCTATGAAATACAGAGGACTTACGCTATAGCAACGGATTCAAACCACACCATAATGTTCCAGTGGATGCCAAGCCACTGTGGAATCACAGGAAACGACATAGCTGATCACGTTGCACATGCAGCACATCAAGAAAATATCATATCACTGCTACCTCTGTCGATGAACGATGCACAATGTCTATTGAGCTGAGCTGTCAAGTGTCTAAAGAAACCTGGTTCGAAATTGGTGCGCAAAACTCTCTGTTGTATAACATTGATCCCGGTATAGAATTGAATAATTCCGTTAAAGGTTAGCCGATCGGTTGAAACAGTCATCCATAGTCTTCGACTTGGTACAGCCTACACGAAGGCTTTCCAGTATAGAATAAGGAAAGCTGGCAGTCCTACCTGCTCATGTGAAGAAGCTCAAAAAGACGTGGAGCACATTCTTCTGCATTGTAAAAATAATGACGTACCTCGAAAGAACCTTTTTCAAAAACTGAATTCTTTGGATAATCGACTTTCATCAATTGCAAAAATCTTGGGTCCATGGCCAAAAGGAAAGATATAAGCCACTGCAGCACGTGCAGTCGTTCACTTTCTGGAGGAATCAGAAATAGCTCAAAAGTACTAAACAAAAAACAAATGTTCTTTACTGTTAACTGCGGTATGTTTCTAAACAGTATTTTGTGTTTCACTACGATATTTTTAAGAAAACCTTCCTGAAAACAGTTGAGTATTTAAGCGACAAGATCACCTTAGACATTTTATTGAAATTCAACGTTTTTGTGTGAACACTTAAATTGGCATGATTACTTGTGTTTTTTTTACAAAATCAGTGTGATGCGGACACAATTCTATGTAATGTGGACACATTTCTGTGTGGTGTGGACAATCAGTGTTGAAAAATGTGAACTCATTGTGTATGTGTTGTGCTATGCACATATGTACAGCCTTGTGTTTACTACAAAATGTGCGATGTTGACTTTTGTGCAAGAGAAGAGGAGTAGCCGGCACCACGCATTGGCACCAAACTCTCCGTACATACATTTAATTAAAAAAAGTATAAAAAGTGTTCTTTGCACATTGAAACATAGCTGAATGCATTGCGTGAGCAGTTTTTTCTGGCATCGCACTCATACTTTCGCATCGCATTACATCCCCGACACAGATTGCGACACGTCCAAAGATTTCGGTGCGTCCGGACGAGTAATGTTGTGTGAACGACAAGAAAAAAGAGTTGAGACACACGGAGCGCACTGTGTTTTTTCCTCTGCCCCGTCCTCTGTGCAACACTAGTCATCTGAATGAAGTGTGCTTAGCTGCCGTAAAAAGTGCCTCTCTTCTTGGACGCTCGCATGCAGCTTTTCAGGCTGGAGAACCCAGCAGGAGTTGGGTTGGGTAGGGGGAGTATGCGCCTGTATGAAGATAGTGGTCATCACAAACAGAGTGCTAGCTGTGCTCTCAGCCTTTCACGCATTTCAACAACATTTACCTCGAAGCAAACAAGCAAGAAGAGCACATATTCTTTCTTCTTGTCGTTGCCTTTGTATTCGTTAAAGCGTTGCCTTTTCATTATTGTGAGGCGCTTCGCTGGTAGCATACGGGAGATTAGCGACTCTTTCGTGTTCCTTGCCAGTCACTACACATAATTATGAAGCCAAGACAACTCCCCCACAATACTGAAAAGAAAAGCCATACGTTAGGCATGATCAGTCCAAGGTATAGCAGGCCCCCTTCGGATGGGGTAAGGGCCCGTGCATTTACTTACGACAAAGTTTTCGGCTGCTTGCGAAGCTCGCCATGAAATTACTGCCTTGGAAGACCCGACTGGGTGAGCCCATATGTCGTAGGAACCTGCAATGAATGTTGGAGGAATCGTTGCTCAACTTTTGCTATGAAAAGGAGTTTTACCTTGAGACCCAGCATGTTTGCTTTGAGATGTCACTAATCCGTTCCTGAATATATACTTCCACGTGGTAGTGACGTGAACATATGCAGTAGTCTATGTGTTCAAGACAGAGCTCTTTATTAAGGTGAACTTGTGCCCGCAAATTTGTGTGTCTGTAACGTAGTACAAGCGATTGACGCTGTACACTGATGGCGGTGAGAACAATTGTCGGTAGTCGACTGAACTGGTCATCTTTTACAAAGCAATCACCGAACGTTCCTGCCTTATTGTTCGTGCTAGCATAAACTTTATAATACCCTTGACTATTCACGTCCCGAGCATAATCTTCACTCTTTCGTTGCCGCGAAAAAAGACGTCGTTTTTCATAGGTCTCAGTAAGAAACTTTTCTCGGTTTGAAAATCCTTCTGCGCACATTGCAACATGCCAAGTTATACATAAAGAAAAGTTCTGACCATTAGATATATGTTGTACACGAGAAAAAAAAGTGAAATATATAAAAACTTGAAAGGCTCTAGTTTTTGACGTCAGCCAAAAAAACAGAATTAGAAGTGCTATATATACAAGAGTGAAACATTCAAAATAAAAAATAATCAGAGTGTACAGTTGAGGGATAAGTCACGGAGGTATAGTACAAATATGATATATTCTTCACATGAACTTGCAATGGAAATACACAAAAAAAACTAACCTCAAACGATGTACTGCCTCATTGCTCGTGCCATGCGCTGAAGCATTTCCTGGCTTTTGTGAGACTAAGGTGCACTTGTGCTCTTTCTGAACAAAATTTTTGTTCTTCGTGAGGAGAGACTACATGGTATTCTAATATTGGTAGTTGCATGCCACGCAGGCAAATCAGAAGGTAAATTGGCTTCGCCTTCATAAAAGATATCGGGAGCGCGCAAAGAAGGGACGGATAAAACAACTACAGAGAATGCGAGCGCCGAGCTTACAAATAAATATTTCAGCGAAAACTGTTATGAATTAAAACTCGGGTCATGCTCGGTGCCGCAGTTTTCCGCTGCAACCGCCGGTGCCCGTAACCCCTGTCGTACGAAATAGGAGAAACGCCTAGTACCAAGGACGCAGTGCGGCTTGAACCTGAGACCGTTGCGTGCCAGCCCGGTATTGTACCATTGAGCCACGCCGATGCTTGGCATTTGTTCAGAAAGTTGTCTTATACAGGTAGGCTTGATGTCGGGGAAGAAATCGCGTTATTATTAGTAATAAAGAGTTTTATAAAACCAAAAAAAAAGACAACCAGGCGGCAGACAATGCGAATAGCATAACGAGTGGGTCGTACAATGCTCCAATCCATTACAAAAGCTTGTTCTTGCTCACCTATTAAATGTAGATGTAGATATATATGTAGATTCGAAACTCGTGGCTCACACCCACTCTGGCGGATCGGCCAAGAATCAGGTAGCTTACAAAAAAAAAGAATGTATATAATTAAACACTGGCGAAATGAAACTTGACAGAAATATTGTTTTTGTGGAAATTATTTTTGAGAAAAAATTTTGGTGAATTAGTTTCTACTGACTGAGCCTTAAATGATTGCTATCAAAAACATTTTTCCCAAAGACTACAAGGGTTAACTGAGAACCTTTCGATATTGAGGTTATTAGGTAAATCTCTTAGACTGTACAATGAAATCTTACATGGCCGCGCACACACTTCAGGAATAATTTGTCATCGTCGTCAGCCGTTCCTTGCAAGAGTTTAGCGGATACCTCCTTCTCAGAAAAACGACGATGGATAGCATAGCGAATGCCGGAGTGCTACCCAGAAATTATTCGTATTATTACTGCCATAGTGGGTACCCAGCAAGTGTGCTTGCAGCATTTACTCAATAAGTAACAATTTTTACTGGTTCATTATCCTAACATGTCTACAAAGTCAAAATTATATAGGTATAAAATTATATTATTGCTCTATTCTAGAAATAAATTCATTTCTTTATTTAAATAATTGTGTCCATTAGATCAAGCACTGCACCTTTCTAGGTTATTGGTAATCTTTCTATTTTATCACAATTATTCTAAATCTGACCAATATGCTTAAAAACAAACGATTCTTGGCCAATACCCCATAGCGGGTATGCACCACGATCAATAGCTGAACAAGAACAAAAACGAGTGCTTAGAAAAGGTTCCGATTGACCACTCTTCATTGGCTTTTGCTGTGACTGAGCTGCGCCTGCCACATATGTTTGGCGTTTTTTAGGTGCGAAGCTCCTTAAGGCGTAGGTCTGTACTTGCTCTGAGGTATGTAGTTGTAGTAGTAGTAGATAGGCATCTCTAGTTTAGTTCTTGTGTTCACTAGTTGGTTGTAGTTGATGCGAGATGTTGTAGAAAGGAAAAAGAAGGCAAAATAACTACCAATATGGATAGAATAGTTTAAATAGCGGAAAAGTTTTACAGAAATCTTTACAGTAGCCAGGACAACCACGACCTTAATACTAAAAGAACTAGCAGTAACCCAGATGACACCCCACCAGTAATGATAGAAGTCAGAGAAGCCTTGGAGAGCATGCAAAAAGGCAAAGCTGCTGGTGAAAATCAGGTAACATCACATTTGCTAAAGATGGAGGACAGATTGTGTTAGAAAAACCAGCCACCTGGTTTACGAGGTGTCTCCTGACGGGAAGAGTACCAGAGACTTTGAAGAATGCTATTATCATCTTAATACTAGGTAAGGAGATAACAAAGACTTCAAAAACTACAGGCGGATCAGCTTGCTCTCCATAGTATAAAAGCTATTTACAAAGTAATTGCTAACAGTGTTGAGAAAACATTAGAATTCAATCAACCAACAAAACAAGTAGGATTTTGAATAGGATACTTAACAATCGAACACATTCATACTATGAATCAGGTAATAGAGAAATGCTCAGAGTATAACCAACCACTATACATAGCTTTCATAGACTAGGAAAAGGTGTTTGATTCAGTAGAAATATCAGCAGTCATGCAGACACTGAAGAATCAGGGTGTCGATGAAGCATATATAAACATCCTAGAAACATCTACAAGGGATCAACTGCTATCATTGCGCTTCATACAGAAAGCAACAGAATACCAATCAAGTAGGGTGTTAGGCAGGGAGGTACGATCTCCCCAATGCTATTTACTTCGTGCTTACAGGAGGTTTCCAGAGGCCTAGAGTGGTAAAAGTTATGGATAAGAGTTGATGGAGAGTACCTTAGTAACCTGCGCTTCGCCGATGACATTGCATTGCTGAGTAACTCAGGGGACAAATTGCAACTCCTAATTACGAAATTAAACAAGGAGAGCAGAAAGGTGGGTCTTAAAATTATTCTGCAGAAAACGAAAGTAATGTACAACAACCTCGGAAGAGAGCAGCGCTTCGAGATATGTAAAAGTTCACTTCAAGTTGTAAAAGACTATGTCTACTTTGGCCAGGCAATCACCGCGGATCCGAACCACTAGATTGAAATAACTAGAAGGATAAGAACGGGGTGGAGCACATTTCGCAAGCACTCTCAAATTATGACAGGTAGATTGCCACTATTTCTCAAGAGGAAGGTATATATGAGCTGTATCTTGCCGATACTTAGCTACGGAGCAGAAACATGGAGGCTTACAAAGAGGGTTCCGCTTAAATTGAGGATGACGCAGTGATTATTGAAAGAAAAAGAGTAGGTGTAACGTTAAGAGACAAGAAGAGAGCAGAGCAAGAAGGGTATCTAACTAGATTCCTAGTGAAGTTAAGTGGGTTAGGGGGAGACAAAAGGTTAGGTGGGTGGATGAAATTAAGAAGTTTGCGGGTGTAAATTAGCAATAGAAAGAACAGGACCGAGTGAACTGGCGGGACACGGGAGATGTCTTTTTCCTGCAGTGGACGTAGTCAGGCTGATGATGATGATGTTATTAAACTAGATGGCGGTACTTGTAGTTGACGAATAGATGCGAGATGTTATAAAACTAGATGGCGGTGTCTGTAGTTGATAACTAAAGATGCGAGATGTTATAAAAGGTATGAACAAGATGGCGTTCCAGACACTGCGATCAGACTCAACTCCGTCTTTAAGGTATAAGGCGAAAAATACTTGTTTATTTAACTGCGCTCGGAAGCGCTCTGCTGTCACTTGAGCGTCCCCGCGTCTCCTCTCGCTCACGCTCTTCTTCTTTCTCGTTTCCTTGTCCCAGCCCAGAACGTGAGAAATAATCAACATTCCCGGCCACGCAAAGGTAAACACATAGTTCAAATGAGTACAGTCTTTGTATCGGCCTGATCACAAGGTGACCGCCTTGTAACTTGATCTTGCAGGAACGAATGAGATCGTCGGCTTTGCGGTACACTTCCGTGACCCCTGCAAGCTTCCATAGCTGGCGTGGCATGTTGTCCGCATGAATGAGAATGATGTCCCCTTGCTTCAATGCTGTATTTTTTGTGTCGGCAAAGTGTGCAGATCAAATTGCAACAGGTATTCTTTTTCCCAACGCTTTCAAAAACTTTGAACCAGCAGCTTCTTGTAGTTGTGTCGGCGTATTGCGTCTGCTCGCTTGGAGTTACTGTTGACTTCGTCAGCGGTCGCATACGGTATGGAAGTGAACCTTCGTCCAAGGAGAAGTTCGGCTGCTGTCTATTTGCAAGGTTCTCCTGCATCTGTCACGATGAAAGTCAGAGGCTTAAAGTTTACGACTGCTTCGACCTCCGCCAGCACTGTCGATATTTCTTCGTAGTTCAGACGAGCTTTGCCGATAAGTTTTTGCAGCGGAAGCTTCACTGATCTTACGAGGCGCTCCCACCTTCCACCCCACCAAAAAGCACTTGTGCAATAAACTTCCACAAAATGCCGTTGGTTCTGAAGTGACCAGCGACGTCTTCTTCAGAGAACATTCGGTGTAGTCGCTTTACGTCTGCCGATGTCTTGTGAAAGCTTCGTGCATTGTCAGAATAGACCACCCTAGGTAATCCTCT